GGTGGGGGCCGAAGAGCTGCTGTCCTCTGGCGAGTGAGAGGGCGGGTGACCCAGGGGACATGGTGCTGGTGGCAGGCTCCTCCTCAGGCTGCTGGCTCGCAGCAGAGAGGCCCCCCTCACCCGTCTTGTCCGTAGAAAGGGCCCGGGTTCCAGGGATGCGGGCCCCAGACCGGCCACACGCAGGCGCTGGCGCTGACGGGTTTCCTGGACCGAGAAGGACATGCAGAGACAAGGGATTTAAGCTCCAGGCCAAGCAAGGGCCCAGGCTCCCGGCTCCCACCCTCCCTGGCTCAGAGTCCCGGCCGCCCGCCAGAAATACCCCAGCCTCTGCCCCTCCCCGGGCTGGGTTATTCTGGGACGTCTGGGTGGAGATGGCGGAGCTGTCTGGAGCCCAAGGGTGAGCTGTGGGCACAGACGTGGGTTCGGGAGGCACCAGGCTGTTGGGACCCTCCTTTGGGTCACACCCACTTTGGAGCTTGCTGGGGACCCGGGATCCTCGCCCAGAGGAAGGCAGCACCCACATGGAGGGGTGAGACTCCCCAGGAGCCGCTGCCTGAGCCCCTCTCGCCCTGCCCTGAGGCCCCCTCCCCAGGTGACCGTCCTCTCTCACAATCATCCAGGACCCCACACACTATGTCTGCCGTGGCCCACCTGCCTCTGACTAGTGTCAAGGACACCACACCCCTTTGGTCGAGACACAGGAGGGGCCACGCCCCATCCGGAACCTTCTCAGGTGGGCAGCTAACTAACTGTGATCCTCTGGCTGCCACCGAGGGCCAGCAGGGCCCCCAGGGGACTCTGGAGCCCGCTTCCTGTCCCGGCCCCCAGAGCAAAGAGGGGGAACCTCTCACTGACCAGGCTGGGCCCATCTCCCTCGGCCCTTGCCCCCAGCCCGGCTGGGTCCGAGGGCATGGGAGGTGGCTTCCACTCTGCAAAGACCTTTTTAAGCCCAGCCGGCGTGGCCCAGTGTCAATCTATGAACCAGGAGGTCACGTTCAATTCCCAGTCACGGCACATGCCCGGGTTGCGGGTTTGATCCCATGTGGGGTGTGCGGGAGGCAGCCGATCAATGATTCTCTCTCGTCATTGATGTTTCCATCCCTAGCTCCCTCTCCCTTCCTCTCTCTGCGGAAGAAAAAAAATAAAAAATTATATATATATATGCATTTTAAGCATTAAAGCTTCTTGGCTCTGTGGACCGCGGGGCACTCCAGCCTCCTAGGCAGCAGGAGGCAGCGGCCCCTTCCCAATAGCCCCCCGCGCCAGGCCCAGACCCATTGTCAGGAGGGGTGAGAGCAAAGAGACGAGGGAATACCCGCACCCCCATCTGCATGACAGTGCTCCTTCCACCTCCACCAGCTGCCTCCCCTTCGGGCCTCGGTGGCCCTATCTGTGAAGTGGGGACAGTAATGACCACCTCCCCATCCTCACCCTAGCGGCCAGTAGATACTTCGTACCACCTGCGCCTGCACCAGGTGGGCTTTGCACCCTCCCGCCAGGACCAGCCTCCGCGAGACTTGAGCTTGCATCTCTTGGGCCCTCCCTGGACCCTCCTGCGGGTGGGAGTACCGCCCATTTGGCCTGCGGTGGACCCTCAACCCGGAGCTCTGCGGCTCGGCGCCACCGTGTGGCTGTATTGGAAACTGCATAGCCTGGCCACCCGGGGAATCCTTCCTTGAAGGGCGACTGACCATGATAAAGCTGCCACCGCAGCGTCTGCAGCATTGATGCTGACAAGCTCCACACAGAACGCTCTTAATCCTCCTACCAACCCTAGGAGGCGAGTCCTATTGTTTGTTCTCCCTCACAGATGGGGAAACTGAGACCCCCAGCTCCATAACCAGAGACAGAGAGGGTAGAATTGGACCCCAGGAGGCCCAGCTGCAGGGCCTTGGTCTTTATCCCACCCATCTTGCCTGGCCCGGAGTTTGGCACCTGCCCTCTGCACATCGGGGTCTCCTGGAAAGGGGGAGGGGAGAGGAGCTTAAAAGAGAAGTTCCCAGTGCCCACTGCATTGCTGATCCAGCTGGCCCAGCTGACTGTCTGTGCAGCCAGGTCTGAGAACCATCTTCCGCTCACAGGAAGCCCACTTTTTCTGTAAGAAGGAGTGACCCAGGAGGGTCAGGATGGGTGCCCTGACCCCCAGAAAATAACACCTCACCTCCAGCCCTGCGTTTCCAACACTCAGAGGCAAGCAGCTTGTTGAGCTAGTGGGAGGGAGGTCATGGGAGGCAAAGGGCCAAGGGTCTGAGTCCTGAGTGCTCTATGGCCTGGCTGTGTGCTGTGGCCTTGACTTTCTCATCTGTGAAATGGGCCATACTCTAGAGCCGTGGTCGGCAAACTCATCAGTCAGGAGAGCCGAAGACCAACAGGACAACGACTGAAATTTCTTTGGAGAACCACAATTTTTAAACTCAAACTTCTTCTATCGACACCTCTTCTACATAGACTCGCCCAGGCCGTGGTATTTTGTGGAACGCCCCGTGTTCGCAGGCCACGTGCGGCTCTCTGGCCCCTTGAGTGTGGCTCTTCCACAAAACACCACGGCCTGGGCGAGTCTATGTTGAAGAAGTGGCGTCGGAAGAAGTTTAAGTTTAAAAAATGTGGCTCTCCAAAGAAATTTCAGTCGTTGCTGTTGGTATTTGGCTCTGTGGACTGATGAGGTTGCCGACCACGGCTCCAGAAGATTTGAAGAAACAGATGTGACGGTTCAGGCTTAGCAGTGGACAGATATTCTAGGTCAGGGGATGGGAAAGGCAGTTTGAAGTTTCCAGCAGAGCGGACCCCTGCAGACCTCTCCAGACGCCTCCAGGCCGTGTGCCTGGGATGCTGGCTGTGGCCTGTGGGCGCGTTAGATGTGCCAGGCTCAGCCATGGCAGGAGGCGGAGGGCACAGAGGGGGGAGGCTGTGCTGGGGCCTGGTGTGGTGGCTGGGGGCCTGTAGGTGGAGCGAGTATGGGGGGGCGTGGAGTTTGTGGGTGGGGCTGCTGTGGGGCTTCTGGGGGAACTGCAGGGGCTGGTGAGTGTTAGAGGTGCCTGCAGTGGGCAGAGGTGGGGGGCACAGCAGGGCAGGTTCTGAGCGCAGTGCCGGGCTGAGGGCCCAGGAGTGAGACAAGAGGGGCCATCGGCGTTTGGGTGGCCCTGAGAAGGGGCTGCTTCCAGGCAGGGCTGAGGCAAGCAAGGGCCAGGTTTGGTTCGGTCATGCAGCTGGAGGCGGAGCCCAGGATACCAGTCTCAGAGCCACAGAAGGTTCTGGACTCCCAGGCAGGGCACTGGGAACAGAGAGGGTTGGGAGATGCTTGATAAGGGCCAACCGAGTAACTGCTGGCCCTCCAGAGGCCAGACCCCGTGCACAGAGGCTCAGTGAAAGCACGCCGGCCTGGGCGGGGTCCCAGCTCCACCCAGTTCAGACACCTCCTGCACTGGCGTGCCGCTGCCGCCCTGAGCCTGTGTCCGCCTGCCACACGGAGACCCTCGGAGCTGCTGCTCAGGACTCAGCAAGGACGGAGGGGCCGGGGGACGGCAAGGCCGCCCACATCCCCTCCCTGCCTCCTGGGGGCACCTTTCTGGGCATGTGCCCAGGCCGTGGGCAAGGGCACTTGGGTGTGTCTGCACCATGATGGACTCCCACTTGTTGGAGGAGAGCCTGGGCTGGAAGAGAGTCCTCTTCCTTGTCCGGGTCAATGTCACTGCCCCTACCCCCCTGGGGGGGCAGCTTCTTCACCCCCCACCCCTGGGCCTGGGCCGCGCCAGCAGCGTGGTGACAGCGGGTGAGGAGGATGTCAGGGGGGTGAGGGCAGATGCCAGCCCCCCTTCCCTCCCCTCTCCCCCGCCCGAGAATCCAGCCTCTGAGCCAGCGGCCTGGTTGGAAGTTGACCAGACAGCACAAGCCCCCGGCCCCCAACCCCTGACCCCCGGCCCTCTCACATCAAAACCCAGCCCTGACCGGTTTGGCTCAGTGGATAGAACATCAGCCTGCAGACTGAAGGGTCTCGGGTTCAATTCCGGTCAAGGGCATGTACCTTGGTTGCAGGCACATCCCCAGTAGAAGGTGTGCAAGAGGCAGCTGATGGATGTTTCTCTCTCATCGGTGATTCTAACTCTCTGCCCCTCTCCCTTCCTCTCTGTAAAAAATCAATAAAATATATTTTAAACAAACAAACAAACAAACAAACAAAACCCTGCCCACAATCCCAACCTCACACCACTGCACCTGGGAACACGGGCTTGCATGTAACAAGGGCAGGTGCCTGCCAACACGGGGCCCACAGTAACCCGGGCGGTTTTGTCCGAAGGGCCCGGCGTCTGGGCCTCCCCAGGGGCAGCTCTGAGCGGGGCCAGCCCTTAGAGAGACGGGCCTCTGTGTCACCCCATTTCACAGATGAGCCAACTGAAGGCCGAGCCCCCTGGCCTGGTCCGGCCGGTCGTTCATGCAGTCAACACATATTTATTGAGCATCGGCTCTGCACAGGGCCCCCGGCGGGCGCGGGGGCCTCAGAGACGGATCGCACGCAGACCCTGCGCCAGGGGCGGCACGGCCTGGCAGGGTGGCTGGTCGCTTCGAAGGGCACTCAGGAAACAGTGGTCAGTGTGGTGTTAGAGGTAGCACAGTGACCAAGGAAGCACGGAGGAGGGGCCCCTGGCCCGGCCGGGGTGGCGGGGAGGGCTTCCTGGAGGAGGTGACACCTGAGGAGGGCTTCAGGGAGTGAGCAGGAGTTAGGGCGTCTGGCAGAGAGTGTGGCCTGGGCAGAGGGGCTGGTGGGAGGGCAATGGCACAGCTGGGGGCAGCTGGGAGTGAGGCAGGGGCTGGCCCAGGAGGGGCAGTGGTTAGCAGTGGACAGGGAGCTCTGAGGGGCGTGAAGCAGAGGGCAGAAGGCCCTCTGAGAGCCGACGTGGAGGCCCCCCGAGGAGGAGGGCAGGGGGCAGGGCGGGCGGCGGTGGGTTGCGGAGGAGGGTGGGTGCGGCCCCTGCCCAAGGAGTCTGAGTCTGCCCCAGGCGCCCTCAGCAGGGCGGGGGCGGGGGCGCAGGCTGCCAGCCGCGGGGCTGCAGGGTGCAGAGCACGGGGTCCAGCGGCTTGAGCGTGGCCTGTTCCTGCACCCCGAACCGCTGCCCGGGCACCAGCCGGAACTCCAGCCTCTGCAGCAGCTTGGCCATCACCACCTTCACCTCCATCTGCACGTGGGGGTGGGAGAGCGGAGTCAGCGAGCACACAGGCCATGGCCCCGGGGTCCCCAGCCCCCTGCCGGGGCCGCCCGGGGCAGAGCTCCCACCGTGTCCTGGCCCAGATCAAGACCCTAGCCCAGTGGTCGGCAAACTGCGGCTCTCGAGCCACATGCGGCTCTTTGGCCTCTTGACTTTTTAGCAAAGGCCAGCTTAGGAGTCTCCTAATGAAGTTAATAACAATGTACCTACCTATATCGTCTAAGTTTTAAAAATTGGGCTCTCAGAAAAAATTTCAACCGTTGTTCTGTTGATATTTGGCTCTGGTGACTAACGAGTTTGCCGACCACTGACCTAGCCCCGCAGCCCCTCCTCGGCGCTGCCTCCTACCTGAGCAAACTGCTGCCCGATGCAGGAGCGCGGGCCCAGCGAGAAGGGGAAGTAGGTGAACCGCGGCCTGCGGGGAGGGAGGCGTCAGGGGACGGTGCCGTGATGGGCGGGCGGGGGTTTGCACCCACTGGACCCGGTCGCTGCCTCTGCTGCGCCCGGCTCGGCCTTTTCTCCCGCGTCCCCCTCTGAGCCTCCGAAGGAGCTGGCATTACCCGGCTTCACAGAGGGAGGAGCGGAGGCTCAGAGAGGCAGAGCAGCCCACCCGAGGCCCTGGTCACACGTCCAGCTCTGGCAGCCTGGGTCTGGACTCAGGGGTCCAGCACTTATGCCTATTCACCGACACCCCGCCTCCAGAGGGAGCCAGTGGAGTGCCCATTTCTCAGATAGGAACATCAAGGCCAAGGGTGGTGCAGTCACTGGCCAAGGGCCTCCCAGTATAAGGGGCTGGTTATAAGCATGGGCTTTAGAACCAGTCTGAGCGGGGCCCGAGGGTGGCTAGCCTGTACATGGCAGAGCTGGGGCTCCCCTCTCCGAGCTGGAATTTCCTCCCTGTGAGAGGGGGCGCGATGGGGTCACGGCTCCCTCCCATGGGCCTGGGGGGCTGCATGGACTCGTGGGCAGGGCAGCTCAGGCCAGAGGCCCCCTCACGGACAGCTCAAAGGGTCACTTACTTGGGTGCTTTGGGGCCGAAGCGGTCTGGGTTGAAGGTCAGCGGGTCCTCAAAGTACGTGTCCATCCGGCCCATGACGTAGGTGCTGAACTGCGGGCGGAGGGCGCTCTGGTCTCTGGTTCCGAGAATCAGTGCCCCTCCCCCACCTGCCACGGCCGCCTGATGGGCTGGTTGGGAGCAGAGTACCCCCCAAACCCCAACTCCTGCTCTCCTCCACCCACCCACCCATCCCTCCACACCCCCCACCCCCAATCTGGGCCACTGCGGGACCCCACTGGCCCCTGGGGAGAATTGACTCTGACCCGTTTTACAGAGGAGGACACTGAGGCTCAGAGAGGTTCACGATTTGCCTGAAGTCACCTGACCAGTAAGTGGCCGCACTGAGGTTCACACTCAGGTCTGCCTCAAGGTCCCTCCCCCCATCCTGAGGGCCGGTGTGATTCCAGGTGTCTCCCAGCACCAGGCTTGCCTGGGCGGGGGAGCTCAGGCCCCCCAGCCTCCCGCCTGTCCTCACGGGGCCCCACATCACCCCGATACCCCGTGCCCTGCCCCCAGGGCCCATGCATGCCCCCACAACCGGCCCGGCTGCCAGCCGCTGCCCCTGGACCCTGCACAGAGCCTCCCTCAGCCGCTCCGCCCTGCTCTGCCTCCGGGATGGAGGAGGGCCTGGGACTGAGCTCTGGAAAGTGCAGGGAGCGTCAGGCAGGGAGGGTCTCAGGTCAGCAGAGGGTGTGGACTCTGGGCCAGGGTTTGTGGCCCAACAAGTGGTGTACGCTATCCTGTCCAACCCCGTCTTACAAGGTGGCACTGAGGCCCAGGGGCCCAGAGTCTCGCCTGAGGGGACCCAGCTGGGTGCAGGGCTGGGGGTGGAACCCACATCTTCTCACTAAGGCCCACGGGTGCACCCCTGGACTGAGGGCCAGCCACAGCCCCACCCTGCCCGGTGTGAGGGCCTGCTGAAGAGATGGTCACTAAGGCGGGGTGTTGGTGCACTGAGGCAGATAAACAGAAAAAGGAAACACACACACACACACACACACACACACACACGGATGAAGCTTTGATATGTGCTGAGAAGGCGTGGCCCAGCCCTGGGGAAGGGGTGCTCAGTGGATAGGGCTGGATTCAGGGGATTCTCCATAAAAATAACTAAAAATAAAACTGGGTCCCATTATGGGCTGGCATGTGTCCCCCTAAAATTCATATCTTGACGTCCTCCCTCAGCATGTGACTGTGTTTGGAGGTGGCAAAGTTACTCTGAGGTCCTTAGGTGGGCCTAATCCAATGTGACTGTCCTTATAGGAAGAGGAGATGGACACACACACACACACACACACACACAGAAGAGGCCGTGTGAGGCCACCCACAAACCAAGGAGTCAGGCTCAGAGACCAGCCCTCCCGGCCCCTTGCTCTCTGACTTCCAGTCCCGAACAGGTGAGACGATGCGTGTCTGCTTTGCGGTATTAGGCAGCCCCAGCCCCTCCCTACCTCACGCCACACACAGAGTCAAGTCCGCGTAGATAAGAACCTCGCTTTCAAAAGGAAAACGTAAACTCAGAAGACAGCCCCAGCCGGTGTGGCTCAGTGGCTAGAGCATTGGCCTGCAGACTGCAGGGTCCCGGGTTCGATTCCTGTCAAGGGCACGTACCTCGGTTGCAGGCTCCTCCCCAGCCCTGGAGGCAACCAATCGATGTATTTCCCTCACATCGACCCTTCTGGCTGTGTTCCCCTCTCTCTCTCGCACTCTCTCTAAAACGCACGGGGAAAACACCCTCGGAGGAAGCCAATAAATAACCAAATGAACTTAGAAGGGGTGCCGGGGAGTGTGCGAGCTCAGGGCAGGGCAGGGTTTCTTTCGCCTCTCTGCGCCTCAGTGCCCCAAGCGGGGCATGGGCACCCTGTCCAGACCCTCCCCGGGATCCAGACGGGACAGTGTGGAGGGGAGAACAGCCTCGCGGGGTTACGGTGAGACCGGATGAGAGCACCCGGGGCAGCCAGTGAGGAGAACGGGGCCGCAGCCCCCCCCTCAGGGGGCGCCCTCATCGGCCACCGCGGGGCGGGCACAGGCGGGGCCCCACGCACCAGGAGCGGGGTGTTGCCGGGGACTCGGACCCCGTCAATCAGGGTCTCCTCCTCCAGCAGCCGGAAGGTGCCCCACGCCGGCGGGTACAGCCTCAGCGACTCTTTGAGGACCTGCAAGCCACACCGGGGACGTGAGAGGAACGGGGAGACCCGGGTGCACGGCCAGCCCCATCTCCGCTCCCATCCCCGGCATTGACGGTGCCCTCTCCCCCAGGACCGGTCCCCGACCCCTGCAGCGTGAACTTCCCCTTTGTGTTCAACCCTCACCGACCGAAGGAGAAACTGAGGCCCAGAGGAGAAGGGGCTTTGGCAGAGCCATAGCAGCGGAGCTCGGACCCGGAGCCAGACCTCCCTCTGCATGGGGGCCCTCCATCCTGAGTCCCCACCGCTCGGCGAGGCCCCTGCTGCGCTGTCGCCCAGGGGAGGGGGCTGGGCAAACACAGCTCCATGCAGGGGGCGCTGTTTCCACCTTGGCTGCCTCCTGGGTTACCTGGGAGCCTCCCCCCGCAGCTGCCCGGGGCGCCGCAGCGACTGTGGTGTCCTCCTCCAGGAGCAGCCCGGGCGGGGGCTGTTTGGTCTCCCCGGGGCTCCCGTGAGCAGGAGGCCAGAGAACCCCCTTCTGATGGGTTAGAGCAGCTGCAGGCCTAAACCCACAGTCCCCGCATCTGCCCCGAGCTCCTGCCCCTCTTCCCCCACCCGTCCCCCCACCACACACACACACCTGGGACAGGTACTGCCACACACACACACATACACACACACCTGGGACAGGTACTGCCACACACACACACACACACACACACGCACACACACACACACACCTGGGACAGGTACTGTCATACACACACACACATACCCACCTCGGACAGGTACTGCAACCCACACGCACACGCACGCACACACACACACACACACCTGGGACAGGTACTCACACACACACACACACACACACACACACACACCTGGGACAGGTACACACATGCACACACACGCACGCGCACACACCTGGGACAGGTATTGCAGCCTCCCCAGGTCCTCGCGCGTGCACACACCTGGGACAGGTACACACACACACACACACACACACACACACACACACACACCTGGGACAGGTACTATCATACTCACACACACACATACCCACCTCGGACAGGTACTGCAGCCCATATGCACACGCATGCACATACACACACACACCTGGGACAGGTACTCACACACACACACACACACACACCTAGGACAGGTACTGCAGCCCACACGCACACGCACACACACACACACATGCACACACACAGCTGGGACAGGTACTCACACACACACACACACCTCTGTGACGGGTACTCACACACACACACATGCACACACACGCGCGCACACACACCTGGGACAGGTACACACACACACACACACATGCACACACACGCGCGCGCACACACCAGGGACAGGTATTGCAGCCTCCCCAGGTCCTCGCGCGTGCACATACCTGGGACAGGTACACACACACACACACACACACACGCACATGCACACACACGTGCGCACACACCTGGGACAGGTACTGCAGCCTCCCCAGGTCCTCGTAGTCCAGGTGCCGCTTGGAGCCGATGACCTCGTCCACCTCGGCCCGTAGCCTGTGGTCAAAGACAGTCCTCTCCAGGGACGGAGTCTTAGGGGGAGAAGGGTGGACGGAGGCCTGCAGAGAGGGGCTGGGTGCCCACCGTGAGCACTGCGCCCCCATTGTTTAAGACAGCCCGGGGCTGCCCGGTCCGAGCCAAGGAGCCACGCAATGGGAGCGTGTCCCGGGCTCTTTACAACCTTCACCCTCCGTGTGGCCGCTGGGAGCCGGCTGCACCCACACAGGCGCCCCTCGGCCTGGGCCCCTCTGCGTACCTGGCCAAGATCTCGGGCTGGCGTGACAGCTCCATCACCGTGAACGCCAGGTGATTGGCCGACGTCTCGTGACCTGCAGGGGAGGAGGGCAGTGGCAGCTCCACGTGGGACCACAAGGTGGCTGCTGTCTGTCTGGGGGCAGTTGGGCCCTCTCTCCTGCTCCCTGGGGCTGAGCTGGGCAGACGGATATAAAGGGAGGCCTGCCCACGTCCACGTCCCCCACTGCCAGCCAGTATGGTCACATAAGTGGCATCTGCCCCAGGCGTCCGGTTTGCACACTCTAAATGCCCCTTCCTCCAACCATCCCTGGGCCTGGCCAGGCCTGGGGTGGGGGAGGGGAGGTGTCCATCCCCTTTTTGCAGAAGGGAAAGCTGAGGCTGAGACAAATGTCTCTCTGAGGTCACAGAGCACGCCTCGTCGATCGAATCACACCCCAAATATGCAAGGTCAGCGGGTAGGCGTGTGGGCAGAGCTTGGGCACCATGGAGAGCTCCCGGGTCCGGAAGCCTCTGGGCAGTCACCGAGGGCTTCCCCAGGGAAGAAGCACTGTGGGGTCCTGAGAGTGAGGAGGCGTTTTCTAGGTGAAGATTGATGCTCAAGAGATATCTGATGAGCAATGAGTGAGGTTGCCCCCCCTCCCCCCTCCCGCCACCCCCATCCTCAATTCCGAGTGAGGCGGGAACGTGAATTCACACGGCCACGCTCTCCTGAGCCCAAGAAGGCAGCGCCACTAACTGGTCAGATGCCACCAAGAGGACCTCCTGGAGCCCCTTAAGCCAGGGGTCGGCAAACTGCGGCTCTCAAGCCACATGCGGCTCTTTGGCCCCTGAGTGTGGCTCTTCCACAAAACACCACGGCCTGGGCGAGTCTATGTTGAAGAAGTGGTGTTAGAAGAAGTTTACGTTTAAAATATTTGGCTCTCTGGCCGAAACTTGTTTGACTCAGTGGGTAGAGCGTCAGCCTGCAGACTGAAAGGTCCCAGGTTCGATTCTGGTTAAGGGCATGTACCTTGGTTGCCGGCACATCCCCAATAGGGGGTATGCATAAGGCAGCTGATTGATGTTTCTCTCTCATCAATGTTTCTAACTCTCTATCCCTCTCCCTTCCTCTCTGTAAAAAATCAATAAAATATATTTTTAAAAAAAAAATATTTGGCCGGGACCGGTTTGGCTCAGTGGATAGAGCGTCGGCCTGCGGACTGAAAGGTCCCAGGTTCTGGTCAAGGGCATATACTTTGGTTGCGGGCACATCCCCAGTAGGGGGTGTGCAAGAGGCAGCTGATAGATGATTCTCTCTCATCATGTTTCTAACTCTCTATCCCTCTCTCTTCCACTCTGTGAAAAATCAATAAAATATATTTTAAAATATATATATATATATTTGACTCTTCAAATAAATTTCAATCATTGTACTGTTGACATCTGGCTCTGTTGACTAATAAGTTTGCTGACCACTGGCCTAGGCATAGAGAGGCTTTGCACCCCTCAGCCCAGCCCCCCAGTTCCACGGCCTAACACTGCTCAGTGGATAGAGCTACGGATGGTAGGGTGCTGGGTTCAATTCCAGTTCAATTCCTGCCAGCCAGGCAAACCCTCCCCACTCCGAGTCCAGAGTCCAGGGACCCACGTTCCCACCGTCCCTGCGGCTCGGACCCTGGGCCGCCGCGCAGCTACGCACCGGCGATGAAGAAGGTGACGAAGTTGTCCAGCAGAACCTCGTCGTCCTGGGCACCCTCTTCGGCTGGAAGACACGGGGTTGGGGGGGGGGACTCTCAGGGTCTGCCACGCTCACATGCCCCTTCCCCACACCCAGCGGAGGGCACCCTGTCAGGAGGGCCCCGCCCGCCGCCCGCCCCCGGGCGCCCACCTTTGAGGATCTGCGTGAGGATGTCTGCGGGGACCTCCTCGCCCCGCGTCAGGGCCTCCCGGCGCCGCTGCACCCAGTCCCTGCCGACCTGGCGCAGGAAGCGGACGCTCTCCCGGATCTCCTGCAGCTGCTTCCACTTCCCGGGCATGAACTGAGGGAGAGGCCCGCTCAGGACGCCCGAGCGCCCCGCCGCCCCGCCTGCCCGCCTCCCCCGGCTCCCACCGTCACCCACCGCAGCACCGGCCACTGGGAGGTGGGGAGAATGGAGGGCATTTCAGAGAGGACAGAGGGGCCAGGGAGAGGAGATCCAGAAGGCCGGCCAGGCCCCAGCATCCACTGGCTTCCCCTAGAAGCGATGGGGGGCGAGGGGGTTGCCTGAGAGCACTCAGGGAGCCCTGAAAAGATGGGGGACCCCCGAAGGATGGAGGCGGTCAGCACTGCCGTCAGGGAGGGAGCCACAGCCGGAGGCAGCGAGCGGGAATCGGCAGCCGGAAGCATGGGGTGGCGTCAGAGGGCCTCAGACTCAGAGGCTGTGTCTCGGGGAAAGGGAGGGAGCCCTGGGTACCCGTCTGAGAATCAACTCAAGCACCACCTTCTCCCTTCGCCCTCCTTCCAGCTTGGAACCAGGGGGTGAGAGCAGGAGCTGCAGCAGCCACCTTAGGACAATGAGGGGGTATGCTGGGGACAGTGGAACAATAAGAAAATCCAGCCTGAGCCAGTTTGGCTCAGTGGATAGAGCTACGGATGGTAGGGTGCTGGGTTCAATTCCAGTCAAGGGCACATATCTGGATTGCAGGCTCCTTCCCTGGTTAGGGGCCTGCAAGAGGCAGCCAATCAATGATTTTCATCATTGATGTTTCTCTCTCTTTCCCTGCCTCTCTGAAATCAATACACATATATTAAAAAAAAAAAAAAAAAAGCCAAAACCGGTTTGGCTCAGCGGTAGAGCATCGGTCTGCAGACTGAAAGGTCCCGGGTTTGATTCCGGTCAAGGGCATGTACGTTGGTTGCGGGCACATCCCCAGTGAGGGGTGTACAGGAGGTGGCTGGTCGATATTTCTCTCTCATCGACATTTCTGGCTCTCTACCTCTCTCTCTTCCTCTCTGTAAAAAATCAATAAAATCTATTTTAAAAAAATAAAAATAAATAAATAAATAAAGATGCCCTGGCCAGCTTAGCTCAGCAGATAGCGCATCAGCTTGTGGACTGAGGGGGTCCCAGGTTCAATTCTGGCCAAGGGGTGAGGGCTCTTGCCTGGGTTGCGGGCTCAGTCCCCAGTAGGGGGTGTGCAGGAGGCAGCCACTCAATGATTCTCTCTCATCATTGATGTTTCTATCTCTCTATCTCCTTCTCTCTTCCTCACTGAAATCAATAAAGAAATATATATTTTTAAAAAGAAAGAAAATCCAGAACATCTGACATTGTGGGGCCATCCTAGCCGTCTACAGTGCCTGTTTCAGGGGTCGTCTTACAGGAGAGAAAGGTCACTGCTGATTTACATAATCCACTTCCATCTTGAGCCTCCACTTTAGGCAACGTGTGCAGATCCTGACCGAGTCAGGCGCCACCTCGCCTGCACAGACGGAACTCAGGGCTCATTCTGGCAGAAACCGCCGCAGGAGGCGCCCCGGGCGAGGAGGACACAGACGCGGGTGCTGGCCGCGGAGGGTGCGGAGGCCGTACCTTGGCCAGGGTGTTGCGGGATGCGGTGATGCCCTCCAGGATCAGCTTCACCTTCCCGGACAGCGGCCTCTGGGCGCCCAGCAGCATGCCCGTCTCCATCCCGAAGGCCGCCTGGGGACGGGAGGACCACAGACCCAGGGTGGAGCCGGGCACCGGTCAGCGGGAGACCCGGACCCTGGGCCCAGGACAGACCTGCACCGTGTCCTAGACTCCTCACAAGGATGAGGTGACCAGACGTCCCGCTTTTGGCGGGACAGTCTGATTTTTAACAATTTGTCCGGCATCCCGCGGCGTTTTAAAAAAGTCCCGATTTTTGGGAAAAAGCGGGACGTCTGGTCACCTTACACGAGGAGCCATAATTCCAGCCCCGGTGAAGGTGGTGAGAAACATGGCGCACAGAGTAACCACTAAACAAGCTTCCAACTCTGTCCCTGACAGTCTGCACTGCCCCTGAGACACAGCCTCCCGCGGTGTCCACTCTGCACCCAGCTCCCCAGGGGGCAGCTGGGCGACAAGGATGCCTCACTCACTGTCCCTGCACTCCAGCCCAGTGGTCGGCAAACTCATCGGTCCACAGAGCCAAAGATCAACAGTACGACCACTGAAATTCCTTCTGAGAGCCAAATATTTTAAACTTAAACTTCTGACGCCACTTCTTCAAAATAGACTCACCCAGGTCGTGGTATTTTGTGGAAGAGACACCCTGAAGGGGCAAAAGAGCCGCATGTGGCTCACGAGCCGTGGTTTGCCGACCACGGTCTCAGCTGCCTGGCCTGCCTTCGCCTGGGTTTGGGGCCATGTGGTCTGCCGGGGTAGCTGAGGGTCAGGTGGGCTTTGGGCTGGGAGGATGGCAGACTTCAGAGCCAGTCCTGCTTCTGCCCCCGACCAGCCTCGGCCAGTGCCCACCCCTCTCGGTGTCCATTCTGGAGAATGAGCTAGCGGCTCCGGTCTCTCGCGGGGCCGGTTTGAATGGTGAAGGAGGAGATACAAAGCACGCAGCCCAGAGAAGGGGCCGCTGGCATGGAGGAGCAGCTAGGAGAGGCGGAGAGCAAGGAAGGGCAAGAAAGAGGGAAGAGGAGCCCCCTGCCCCGGGGTGGGGTGGGGGTGGGGGTGGGGGTAGGGGGCCGTCCACCCCTCACCTTGGCCAGGATGTCCATGGTGGTGCAGGTCAGCATCTCCTGCATGGACACCGGCGTCTGCCCGTCCGCCTTGGCCTCCAGGATCTCCACCAGCTGCTCCGCCTTCTCGTTGAACGTTTCCATCAGGCTGACCAGGGAGCTGGGGAGACAGCCCGCGCGTCAGCGGCCGCAGGGACCGGCCCGGGCGTTGGCGGGGAGGCCAGCCTGCAGAGCGGAAGCGGTGGCCCCTCCCGGCCTCCTGGCCTCCCTGTGTGGCTCAGGCCCCGGACTTGGGTTCCAGTAACCAAACAGGCCCTGGGGATTCACATTCCCCTCCACGCGGATGCCGCTGTCCCTCTGCCAGTCCACCTGGTCCCACGGTCCTCGTTCTGCACTGGGCCCCTGAACTCTGACCTCAGGGTGCTGTGACAGTGTAGAACCTCCACAGGGAAGAAAGGGGGGAAAGACATGTGGGGTCTCCAGAATCCATGAGTTTCCCCACCAGCCTCTCCACTGGCACAGCCCAGCCCCGGCTGCCACCTGCGGCCTGGCTTTCCCATCCCATCCCCTGCCCGTGAGCAACCACAGTGCCAGACCTACACGGACAGGCGTCCACAGAGCCAGGGATCCCAACACACAGTGCCCCACCCGGCAGGCCTCGGGCTTAGGAAGACTATGGAAGGATGTGCTCCAGACTCACAAAAACGGCATCCCTGAGGGGGTAGGGGGAGACGGCCACGTGGCACATCACACACTCCTGGCTTTTCACTAACAGAAAGGGCTGCTTCTGAAATGAAAAGCGCTTTTTAACGTTAGCAATCTGGGTAGATATAAGGGTGTTCTTTCTCCCTTTCTTATTCTTAAACCGTACCTAGAAATGTGAAGTTTCCAGATACGAAGATGTTTAAAACATGAAAAAGAAAAACATGAGCGAAGAGAAAAAGGGTCCATTTTTTTTTTTTTTTTTTTTTTTTTTTAATTAGGAAAGAAAATCCGCTCTTTGCTGCCCAATCCACCAGCCCTGCTCCGGCTTCCCTGCTCCGCCACGGGCCCCACATCCTCCTGGGGATCCTCCTGCTGCTGCTGCCCGGCCCCACCCCACGCTGGCTGCACGTCTTATCCGCTGAGGCCCAGGCCGGACGGAAAGCACCATTCTGATGGGGCCCCTCACCTAAGACACATGAAGCACCCTGTCGCTCTTAGGAGGGGGCACAGATCCTCACCTGGGCCAGGAGGCAGCCTCTGTCCCCTCTCCACTGCGCCCTGAGGCATTGCCTTCCTGTGGCACTCCTCCTGCCCGCCTCAGGGCCTTTACACATGCTGTCGTTTCTGCCTGGAACTCTCCTCCCTGGCGCCTTCCATCCTAATGTAAATATCAGTGTTTTCCGATGGTCTTAGGCGACCCTGCTAGCGGTTCTCAACCTGTGGGTCATGACCCCTTTCACAGGGATCGCCTAAGACCATCAGAAAACACAGATATTTACATCACGATTCATTAACAGTAGCAAAATGACAGTTATGAAGTAGCAACGAAGATAATTTTATGGTTGGGGGTCACCACCACACGCGAAACTGCATTAAAGGGCCGTGACATTAGGAAGGAGAGAACCACTGCCTTAGACGATCTGGGCAGCTTTTCTGCAGATCTGAAGTCATATCGAAGCAAATGGTTCGCCTTCCTCAACACGCCCAACACAGGCTGGCCACGTGGGCCAGCGGCCTCCCTCCTCGGGATTTACCCCAGAAAAACGGACACGGACGTCCACACAGAAGCGTGCACTGACACACGCATGCTCCAGCAGCATGAGTCACAGAAGCCGAAAAGCAGAAACGGCCCCATGTCCGTCAGCTGATGAGGGCGGAGGAGCCAGCTCGGTCCATCGAGGCAGGGGACCAGCCCTTGGCAATGGAAAGGAACGCGTCTCTGGTGCATCCTGGGGCATGGATGGGCCTTGTGATGCTGCGTGAGAAACGCCGGGCACAGAGACCGCACGTGTGTGAGCCTGTCCATAGGAGGAGTGCAGACTATAGAAATCCAGAGACAGGGCGGGAGAGGGGTTGCCGGGAGCTGCGGGTACAGAGGGGAAATGGGGGTGGCTGCTCGGGGGCAATGGGTGACAAAAATGTCCTGAACTTGACCGTGGTGATGGCTGTACAGGTTTCGGATACACTAAAAACCACTGATTACACCCTGTAAACGGTGGATTGTAGGGTGTGAATTGTATCTGAAGGTGAGTGACTTAAAAAAATAAAATGTTACCCCAAAATGAAAACTATAACAACATAAAGAGCCCAGATGAGGTGATGAGGCCTGCGCTGGGGGAGCTTCTGGGGGAGGGGGACCCCCACACGTCTAGACGTCCTTGTCACAACCCCGATACCTGCAAACCAACAGGGACCTCTCTCCGCCTCGCACCCCACTGGCCGGCCTCCTCCCTCCTCTTCCTTCCTCTGTCCCTTCTGCCTGGACCAGTCTCTCCCCCTTCCCCTGCTCAGCACCCAGCACCACTGGGCCCAGCACCAGACACCACCCCGCCCAGCACGACCCTGCCCAGCACCCAGCACTGCCCTGCCTAGCATCCAGCACCACCCTGCCCATCAGCCCAACACCGCCCTGCCCAGCACCCGGCACCTCCCCGCCCAGCACCCGGCACCGCCCCGCCCAGCACCCGGCACCGCCCCATCCAGCACCCGGCACTGCCCCGTCCAGCACCCGGCACTGCCCCGCCCAGCACCCCACACCGCCCTGCCCCGCCAGCACCCATGCTGCCCGCCAGCACCCACGCTGCCCGGCGGGCGCGCTCACCTGCGGCTGAAGGCCAGGTCCATGACCCTCCGCTGCTTGTGCCAGCGCTCGTAGTCACACTCGGACACCAAGCCTTGGCCAAACAGCCTGCGGGGCACAGACACCGGGTGAGAAGCAGGCTGGGGGCACGGGGCCAACGGCCAGGTGGCCAGGGGGTCACCTTCGGGGCGACGGCAACGCTGTGGGAGTGGACAGCTGGCGCTGCACCACGCTGCGGATACACCAGATGCACCGGATGGTGCCCCAATGGGGCGAACAGGGCGGGTTTTATGTGGGTGAATGTAACCCCCTAAACGACACGTAATCACGAAAGAAACGAGGCGATCATGTGCCCCAATCTCAGCGGCCCCCACGCTCCCACCTGCCATGGGAGGGGAGAGGGGAAAAGGGAGGTGCCCGTGGGAGAGCAGTGGCCACCGGGCCTGGGGCACGTGCCGTGGGCCTGGCCGCCAGGAGCTCGGCCCCTCGGCCACCCCAAGGCCTGGAGCCCACGAGCCCTCTCCTCCCAGCCACAGCCTTCCCCATCCCCCCCACCCCCATGCCGTACCTCTCACCAAACACCGTCTGGATGGCGTGGTACATCTTGGAGTCCTTATTGTACTTGGTGGACATCAGGAATTTCTAAATATCCCAGAAAACCAGCATCAGCAGGAGCACCCGAGAGAGGGCCTCGGCTGTTTCGATTCTGTGACATCACCCCCTGTGCCCCCTCGCCCCCCCCCCCCCAGATGACCACCTGGAGCCGAGCCTGCCATCGTGTGAGCGCTTCACACACGGGCCTCACCCGACCCTCTGGAGCAAGAGCACCCCGTTCAGGGGAGAGGAAATCGGGGCACAGAGGGGTGAAGCGATTGTCCTGTGGCCACACAGCTGGGGAGCAATGTCGGGGTGGCTGTGTTCCTCACTCCAATACCCATACCTTGCCACCTTCCAAAGTGGCAAGAACAAAGCAGGGCATGGCTGCTCTGAACCCAGAGAGCCTGGAGGGGGGGTGTCTGGGACTCTTTTTTTTTTTTTTTTAATATATTTTATTGATTTTTTCACAGAGAGGAAAGGAGAGAGATAGAGAGCTAGAAACGTCAATGAGAGAGAAACATCGACCAGCTGCCTCTTGCACACCCCCTACCGGGGATGTGCCCGCAACCAATGAACACGCCCTTGACCAGAATCGAACCTGGGAAACTTTCAGTCCGCAGACCGACGCTCTATCCACTGAGCCAAACCGGTTCCGGCTGGGACTCTTGTTTAGGAACTCATCAACACCACCAACCAGACAGGCCTTGGGACTGCCCTGAGACCCAGCAGCCACTTCAGCCAAAATCTTGCTGCCCCTGCAGATCTGGGACCTCCACCGCCAAAGGCGTCCCGCTAGGCGGCAGGGAAACGATGAACAACACAGACGGACGAACAAGAACAGACCCGGAGACAGGGAAGCATCGATCAGACCGTCAAACCTCAGAGGGAAGGCAGGGGAGGGTGGGAGTGGGGGGGAGAGATCAGCCAAAGGACGTGTGCCTGCATATACGCCTAACCAGTGGTCACGGACAACAGGGGGCTGAGGGCATGCGTGGGGAGGGGTTTGGGATGGGAATGGGGAGATGAGGACAAAGATGTGAGACCTTAATCAATAAAGAAATCTTAAGCCCTAACCGGTTTGGCTCAGTGGATAGAGCGTCAGCCTGCAGACTGAGAGGTCCTGGGTTCGATTCCGGTCAAGGGCATGTACGTTGGTTGTGGGCACATCCCCAGTAGGAGGTGTGCAGGAGGCAGCTGATCAATGTTTCTCTCTCATCGATGTTTCTAACTCTCTATCCCTCTCCTTTCCTTTCTGTAAAAGATCAATAAAGTATATTTTTTTAGAGAGAGAGGGGGGAAAGAGAGAGAGGGTGAGTGTGTGGGACATAGGAGAGACACTGGGCACAGACACAGGATTGTTGCTGCCAGCCCAGCTGTGGCAATCTCAGCAGGCTTCCTAAAGGAGGCTCAGCTTCCCCACCAAGAGCAGCAGGTGCAACAGAAACATTAGCTATCCGCTCTTCTTAAACAATTCCTTATTGTTTAAAGTATTACCCAAATCCCTTTTCCCCCATTGACCTCTCCCCGCTCATTCCCACCCCCACCCCAACACATGCCTTCCCCCCCCCCACTGACTGTGTCCATGGGTATGCTTATATGCACGCATACAAATCCTTTAGTTGATCTCTCACCCTCCACGCCCCTCCCACTCCCCCCCACCACCTTCTCCCTAAAGTTGGATGGGCTGTTCGATGCTTCTACGTCTCTGGATCTATTTTAGTTCATCGGTTTATGCCGATCATTATATCCCACATATGAGTGACGTCACGTGACATTTATCCTTCTCTGACTGGCTCATTTCGCTTAGCATGATGCTCTCCAGGTCCATCCGTGCTGCTGCAGATGGGAAGAGTTCCTTCTCGTTCACAAGGGCAATGCAGCCCAGGGGTTAGCAGCTCGGAGTCGGCGGGCCTGAATTTGAATCTGGGCTCAGCATCCTCACTACAGCTTTTGCTGACACCCCTGTGACCCTGAGCAAGTCCTTCCCCTCCTTTGGCCCTCGGTGTCCTCGTCTGATGAGACGGGGAAAGAGAGTGGCTGCCTGGCGGGGCTGCTGGAGGAATAAATTGGTTCCACATGACAGGGAAGAGCAGCTGCTCTGTCCATGCCAGGTGCGCATCGGCACCTGGAGGCCATCCAATGCCCAGCCAACCCTACAACGTGGGTGGTGCTGCTACGCTCATGTACGTCGGGATGGAGAAACCTGGGGTTTAAAACTGGCCCGAGATCACACGCATGGTAAATGGCCATGGGCTCTGGATCCGGATGATTGGCTGCGGGGGAGGGGGAGATGACCTTGGTCCAGGCGGGGGAAGCAGTCACTGATGCATCTGCAGAGGGGGAGAGCGGGGGGGGGGGGGGGGGCGCGGGGGGGGGCTGGAGGGACCCTCCCTGGGGATGCTGAGCTTTATTCTGGGGGGCTGGGAAATGGGAGGAGACCTCCCTGCGGCACATCGCCCAGGGGGTGCTGGTTTCTGTGAGATTTGCTCCCGGGGAAAAGTGAATTATCAAGTCCTTTGGTTGATCTCCTTTCGCCCACCCTCCCCTAGCTTCTCCCTGAGGTCTGGCAGTCTGATCGATGCTTCCCTAACTCTGGGTCTGTCCCTGTATATCCGTTTATATCAACCGAAAATAAGCCTAACCAATGGACATGAATGCTAGGGGGGTGAGGACATGAGGGGGGCGGTTAGAGGGTTAATGGAAGGATGAGGACACATATGTAATACCTTGATCAATAAGGAAATTTTAAAAAGTGAATGTTACACTATCTGGTAAACATAAAAGGATAATAATGTTATCTGGCTGGTTTGGCTAAGTGGATAGAGCATCAGCCCTTGGACTGAAGGGTCAGGGGTTCGATTCTAGTCAAGGGCACGTACGTTGGTTCCGGGTTCCCGGCCAGGAGGCAACCAATCAATGTGTCTTTCTCACATTGCTGTTTCTCTCTGTCCCTCTCTCTCTCTCTTCCACTCTCTCTAAAAATCAATGGAAAAAATATCCTCAGGTGAGAATGAACAACAACAAAAAAGGTACGTAAATATTGCAGACAACTTTATACCAATAGTTTCAACAACTTAAAAGAAATAGACAAATTCCTTGAAGGACACCAGACTAAGAAAAAACAATAGAAAATCTGGGTAGTCATATAGCAATGAAAGAAATTGAATGTATAATTAAGACAAAATAACACTTCTCAAAAAAATGCCAGCCCAATGGCTTCACCAGCAAATCCTAGCAAACATTAAAGGAAGGAATAACACCACTCTGACAACAGCTCCTTCAGAAGAAGAAAAAAAGTGCAAAAGGAACATTTCCTAACTCATCTTACGAGGCCGATTAAACTGATATCAAAACCAGACAGAGATCTTAGGAGAAAAGAATTAAGATAGAAACAAGCATTCTTGATGAAAGATGAACAAATTGTACCATGACCAGGAATTCAGGGTTGGCTTAACACTTGATGGTTGACCGACGCATGTCATCATATTAATATGTATCTTTCAACTTCTTTCCTCATTGGGCATCATGAAGGCTTTTGTGTATGGCTGCTGGTAGTATGCTTTTAAATGTCTTAAACTATGTCTGTGTTTGAAGTTAAACTTTTTTAAATAAAGTTATTTTTGTCCAGCCAGCGCAGCTCAGTGGTTGAGCATCGACCTATGAGCCGGGAGGTCATGGTTCAATTCCCGGTCAGGGCACATGTCTAAATTGTGGGCTTGATCCCCAGTGTGGGGTGTGCGGGAGGCAGCTGATCAAAGACTCTCTCTCTTTCTCTCCCTTCCTCTCTGAAATCAATAAAGATATATCTTTTAAAGTTATTTTTATCGTCTTGTGAGAGGCACTATAATAGTTCAGCCTGTCTCCTGATCTGAACCCTCAGCTGTTTTTATCCCTCTTTGTGTCACCAGCCACCCTCCATGTGGAGAATCACCCGCATGGAGGGTGGCTGGTGACACAAAAGGTGGCGTGAACAACAGCACCATCACTTATTGAGCAATTGCTGGGGCCGGGCACGGACCAGATAACTCATATACATCATGTCAGTCCCATTCCCACAGCCCCTGTGAGAGAGGCAGCGTCCCTGAGCTACAGACAAGGAAACTGCCCAGAGCGAGACAGCACCTTGTCCAGGTCCCACAGCCGTTTGTGGCAGAGCCCAGGGTTGAGCCCAGTTCTGCCAACTCCCAAGCAGATGACTTGATGGCCAACCTTTACAAATACCTGCAGAGCAGACACTATCCTGCACACATTACAGACCTCCCAATGCCCCTGTGTCCATGTCCCCATCTCTAAAATGGGGACTAATAAGAGTTCCTACCCCTATGAGATCTAATCTCTCTATATAAAAAGCCAGCAACCAGAACGCCTGAAGGACCTGTCCAGTCACTACGATGCCCACTGCGGCCAGAGAACCAGCCCAATCAGGAGGCAGGACTGGCTGGCCAACCTCCTGCAGCCCCTCCCCCCGGCTGGCCCAGCCCCTGATGGGCCCCCACCACCCCATCAGCCAGTGGCCACTCCCCTCAGCCAGCTCCGCCCTCATTGGCTCCCCCACTCCAATCAGGGGCAGGGCCGGCTGGCCAATGACCCATGGCCCCTCCCTCGACCTGGCCACACACCCAATCAGTCCCCCACCCCAATCTGGGTGGGGCCTGTTGGCCAATTGCCCACAGCCCCTACCCCAAGCCAGCCCAGCCCTGATTGGACACCGAATGGGGTAGACTGGCCCGCCAACCTCCCACTGTCTCCTCCTCCCCACAGGCTGGGGCCCCAATCTGCTGATTGGAGCTGGGCTGGCCGGACCTCACCTGTGCACGAATTTGTGCACTGGGCCTCTGTGGGGTAATAATTGGGAAGTACCTAGGAAAGCACATGGCCCACAGCAAACACAGTTAAGTATCCTTTGACCCTTAATTGCTAAATAAATCGATCAATATTTAATTTGCATCACAGCCCTGAGAGAGAGAGGAGGGGGGGGAGGTCAGTTATATTCTCACCTCACCCACGAAGGCACTGGGGCCCATGAGAGGTGAACTAACCAAACACGTGTGCGCACCAAACGGGCCCCACAGCGAAGTCCCCTCCCTGCCCACGTCCAGCAGCCCTGCCCTCAGGAGCCCGCCACGCAGCGGGGGATCAGGAAGAAGCCGTTGCCTTTGGGTCCTCGGGAACCCAGCCCCAATGTGTGTGACTCCAGAACATTCCTCCCATCGTCCCCAGGGCCAAGGTTCACGCATGCAGCCACGGGCAGGGGAGGACACCACTCTGCTGCCTACCTTGACCGACTCGGGGCTCGTGACGATGACCGAGGTTTTGTGGAAGACGTTGACCCGCACCACAGGCCCATACTTCTTAGCCCTGAAACCAAAGCGACCCGGAGAGGCTGTCACTACCGGAGAGTGACTATCTCCACCCAGGCCCGGCGGGAGGAACAGCGTCCCCTCCCAGGAGGGGGCTCCCGTGGGCTTGGGGCCCAGGCTCTGTCCTGGGGCTGACTCCCTGCTGAGTCCCATCTCCCAGTGGGTCTCAGTTTCCACATCCATGAAATGGGCTTGCTACACTCCTTTGCCCCAGAGGTTGTACGGGGAATCAAGCATATCAGGTCTCCGAAAATGCTTTGAAAAGTATAAAGCACCCTTCCCCCCCCCTCAAACAATGACTCTTATCCAGTCATGCCCCGCCCCAGGTTATGGATGAGGAAACTGAGGCTCAGAGAGGTTCCGGTGGCTGGCCTAAGGTCATGGGATTGCCTTTCCAGCCAGCCTGGTGTGCCTCTCCGCTCAGGGAGGACCTGCCGGCGGTGGGAGTGGCCTGGGCCGGGGAGCAGGGAGTGTGTGTGCTGGGCTGGGCGGGCCCCACGGGTCCGGGGCTGGAATGAGGGCGATGGGTGACGAGGTGGGACCCACCAGTCCAGAAACACGTCCTGGAGCACGCGGCCGCAAGCCTCGTCCTTCCTCCAAAAGTAGGGCAGGTGTCCTAGGAGGAAACTGGGAGAAATGAGAAACGTTATGACCCCTGGAAGTCACCCCTGGAGAGGGCCCTGCGAGGTCAGGGCTGTTAGACCCACTGCGTGGGTGGGAGGACTGAGGCCTGGCCTGGAGTCCCCAGCAGGAGGCCGACCTGAGTCTGGCCGGCTCCAGAGGCCTCCTCGGGGAGGTGGTGGAGAGAAACAAAGCCGTCTCCACGGTGCGGGTCAGGGCGGGCACGCAGGGACACCGTGTGGAATCACCGTGAGACGCGCATCGAGCACTTCCCGTACGTACACCGGGTGCTATGCTCAGCCTCACCCCGTCTAACCGGCCCGCACCCCCTGGAGCAGCGGAGCTGGACAGGTGAGGTCCCCTGCCCACAGCGGTGTGGCTGGCACCAGGGCTCCCCAGCGTCCTTACCACCAGGGGATGGACGGGTCACCCTAAGTCTGCACGGTGATCACCCGATCGCAGGCAAGCCTTTTGGTGTCACCAGGAGGCCCGTTCCGAGGGACTCATGGCCTCCTGCTGCCGCTAGGACCCTTCTCCAGGCAGGCTCACTGACTACCGCATCCAGACAACAAAGCTGCGATTGGGGTTTCTGGGTCCGGGAACTCCTCCCAGGGGAGACAGGAGACACGCAAACATGGACGTAAACAGGAATTCAGAGAGCGATGGGGGGGAAATCCGAGCGGGGGGAAAGAGATGTGGGGTGGCCATTTTGCATAGGCAAGTGGGAGACCATTCGTCCAGGAAGGTGTCATGCGAGCTATAAGAAGTAAGGGACTGCCGAAACCGATTTGGCTCATGGACAGAACACCGACCTGTGGACTGAAGGGTCCCAGGTTCCATTCTGGTCAAGGGCATGTACCTTGGTTGTGAGCACATACCCAGTAGGGGGTGTGCAGGAGGCAGCTGATTGATGTTTTTCTCCCATCGATGTTTCTAACTCTCTATCCCTCTCTTTTCCTCTCTGTGAAGAATCAATAAAATATATTAAAAAGAAGAAGAAGAATTAAGGGACTGAGCCGAGCAGGTATCTGGGGGAAGAGCATCGGAGGCAGAGGAGTGGCAGGTGCAAAGGCCCTGAGGTGGAAGTGCAATTGGTATGTCCATGGAAGGCAGTGTGGCTAGAGCAGGGAGCATAGGGAGCCAAGATCCAGGGCAGATCCACAAGTTGGGGCGGCTCTGGATGGCCTGTGGGGGGCTCTGGACGGCCTGTGGGGGGTCTCTGGACAGCCTGTGGGGGGCTCGGGCGGCCTGTGGGCTGCTGTCTGCACTTGGGCTTGGCCCTCAGCGAGGGCTTTTAAGCAAAGCACAGGAGGCACCTGGGTGTTAAATGCTTTGTGTGAAAGTGAAGGGGGGAGGAGGCCAGGGGAGGGGGGGTCTGCAGGGGCCCCAGTAAAGGGCTGTGAGAGGGGATGAAGGCTCAGACCGGTGAAGTTGAGAACAAAGGTAGAGCCAGGAGCCCAACCACGTGGGTGTGCTGAGTGACAGTTGTCCGGGGGGACTCTGGGCCACTGGGAGGCGGGGGAGCTGCATTCACAGAGGGGAGTCCCCTGCAGGAGGGGCTGGCGGAAGTGCCTGCTCGACACCCCCCAGAGCAGCCTCCGCCCGGGGGCCCTGCCCCTCCACCTGGGGGCAGTGCTGGGTCCCAGGCTCCCAGGGGGCTGCCTGGCTTTCACCCAGAGCCCTGAGGACAGGCAGCGAAGGGACAGCCCGCCGGGAAGGCTGCGCAGGAGGCACAGGAGAGCCGGAGCGAAGGGCTGGATCCTTCGAAGGGAAGGGAGGGTTGAGGCCGGAGGGAGGCATCCGTCCGCCCCAGGCTGTGGAGGGGCCAGGCCGCCTAGGACCATGAAGGAGCGCCATGGAGGCCACTGGGACCTTGACCGAAGCAGGTGGGGCGGAGAGGTGGGCCCAGAGCCTATGGGGTGGTGGGTTCAAGAGAGAACAGGGGGGAACCACGGGGCCCCACAGACAGGCAGGCTGCTCAGCAGGCTGCAGCGGGGGTGCAGGCGCGGGGTGGCTGCAGGAGGGAGTGAGAGTGGGAAGCACGGGGCTGGGTTTTAGCAGCACATTATATAAAAACGGGGAGGATGCAGAGGAGAAGGAGGCTGATGGCGCAGGGGCGGGGCGGTGGGGGCAGAGCTGCTGAGCAGCGAGGGCCGCTGGCCTTGGCCAGGGGCCCCGGAACCCAGCGGGAAGGGGAGGGCGAGCGGCCCTCTGTGGGCAGGGGGTGGCCGTGGCGGCAGAGCCCTGAAAAGAAGTTCTCTCGGCGGCGGCTCCATTTGCTCCGGGAAGTGGGAGGCAAGAAGAAAGGCTGAGGGTGCGGGTGGGGGGCGGAGGGGCGTGCGTGCCGGGACTGCAGAGCGGCAGGAGGCTGCAGGCAGGCAGGCAGGCAGCCGGCCCCCGCCCGGGGGGGGGGGGGGGGGGGGGGAGGGAGGAGGAGCTGAGGGCTCCCACTCCCTCCTCCCGCCCCCAAAGTGAGGGCTTGACCTTATCCCGCTCCACCTGCAGAAAGGTGCACCGGGACACCACGCACCGCTGGCTCTTTCCAGAATTATCTCATGTCCACGGTCACGCCCCAGAGCCGCTCCTTTTCAGGAAAGCGTTCTGTCTGGCGTGAGAACAGCCTGTAACCCCTCACGCTCGCTCCCAGGCTCCTCTGAGATCCTGCGCTCTAACCACTGGACTCCATGGCCCCCGGGGAGGAAGGCAAGGGACGCCTTGAGAATGGCCACCTCCGCTGCCAGGCAAGAAAGGGAACTAAAGCCCGTCCCCTCCAGCTCCTGCAGGGGGCGCTGGGGGGGCAAAGGCAGGGCAGGGAGATGCGTTAGAAATGAGTAGGTAAGGGACCCCAGGGTGAGGGGATGGTAGAACCCTGGGACGGGGAGGGGCAGCAGCAGCCCCCCTGGCATGCCCTGTGGTGGACTGAGAGTGGCAGGGCAGCCCGGGAGAGAGGGGAGGGCAAAATCCCCCTCCTGGCTGGCCCCCGGGGCACGCAGCTCCCTAACACACGGCAGCGCGCACAGTGGGGGACCAAGGCTTCCTGTGGGCAGAGAATCGGGGGACAGTCCCTGGAGCAGAGGTCACCCGGAGAGCCCGCTGGGAGAGCACCCAGAGGGAGCCAAGACAGGCCGCCTTCTAGGGTGAGGGTGAGGAGGGGCCGTGGGGGTGCCTGTGCCAGAAGGACGGGGGGCCAGCTGGGCACCCGGAGTCCCCCAGTGGGTCCCCGCCATCACCAGGAAGCACCCCGCCCCTCGCGGAACAGCCCCTCCCCCAGCAACTTTGCAAGTGGGAGTGGGAGGAGAAAGCCAGCATCGCCCGGGAGTCAAACTTGAAGAACTTAGGACCAAATAAATAAAACAAGGGGACAGTGAGACTTTTCATTGTCAAGTTCACACCCCCTCTCCCCCATGCTACCAGGAGCGTGGGGGCTGAGGAGTCTAGAGCAGTGACAGAAATCAAGAAGCTAAAGGTGTTTGTGTGGGATCTGAGCACTGAGCCTGGGGTTCCAGCCAATTCCGCGCGGATTGGTGTGCAGGAGGAGGGGCGCTCAGGGAGGGCAGCCTGGAGGAGAGGGCATGGTGGCGGCTCCTGCAGAACAAGGAGGATAAAGGGTTGGTGTCCAGGAGCCCAGGAGCTGCCTCTTTGCAGGGCAGAGCCGTCCTTGCTGCCAGCTGGCCAGACTCAGAGGCATCGAGGGGCAATCACCACCCTTGGAGACTCAATACGTTGGTTTCTTGCCAACCACGGGACTGCCAGTCACGGGCTAGGGATCCCGGCTTTGGGTGCCAAAGCACTTGATTTGTGCTAGAAGAGGTTCCAGAACTTTCACTTAGTGCAGTCTTATATTTGATCACCAACCCGCTTTTAATCCCAAATCTCTTCCTATAGCCCTATGTGGCTCACCTCCGTAGAACACAGAGCCCAACCATAATTACACCCCGCCTCCTCCCACTCCTCTGCCCAATCCTCTCCCTCCCCCTCCCCCATCACACACAACTGTAAGATTTGGGGGGAGAATTCAGATCTAAAAAGAAAAGAAATGGGGACACAAGCTGCTCCATGGTGGCCCTTGAAAACATGCTGAGAGCAAGAAGCCAGACACCAAAGGCCACGTAGCGTGTGAGCCCGTTTACATGCAGTGCCCCGAACAAGCAAACCTGTCAAGACAGAACGCAGATGCGTGGTTGCCTAGCGCTGAGGGTTAGGATAAGATGAGGGACAGCTCATTGGTGTGGGGTTTCTTTTAGGGCTGATGACACATTGGTGCTGAGGGTACAGTTTAGAAGGGCAAATTATATGGCATGCAGAATTTTATTTTTAAAATGCAATGATTGGGGGGGTGGGGAGAGGAGCAGAGAGAGACTTGACTTAAGAGACTAACTGGGTTTTCAATGCTGGAAGCACTTGGGTTCCAGAGAAAGCCAGCCGTCATGAGATCGATCAGAACAAATGATTTGAAAACTTGCCAGGGGATCGAGCCCCTGACAGAACTCTCAGGGGATCGCCACCAGCCACCCTGAATCAGTTGTTTATCAAGTGCCTACTATGCGCACACCAGACACTGCTGTGCTAGGTGTGGGGCACACAGCAGCGAACGAGACAGACACAGGCCCCTGGGAGAGACGGACACTTAACAAGAGGTTGCGCCAATACTTAATCACCCAATTGCCCTGAGGGTCACTGGGGTGTATAAAATGGATAGGATATACTTAAGCCCGGAAGCAGGCGAGGCCTCCCTGAGGAGTTAGTATTGAAGTCAAGTCTGGAGAGCTGGGAAGCAACACGGAATGGAAGACAGAGCTGCTACAGAAGAGGGAAAGGGCCGGGAAGACCCCAGGGTGGGAGAGGGAGGCTGTGAGGACAGAGCCAGCAGGGAGAGACACACCAGCCACAGAGATCTCTCCCCACACCCACCACCCAACAGGAATTCCGGCTGCTAACACCAAGATCTGGCTTGTGCCGGAAGTGGGTGCCTTCCAGAATGTTCAGATCCTGAGGTTTTAAAAAGCGTGTCTAATACTGTTGTTTATTCATTCATTCAACAAATATTGATTGAGGGTCCCTGTGCGCCGGGCGCTGGGGATACACCAGCAACACGGCATCCTGCCCTCCCGGGCTCACATTCTAAAGCGGAAGACAGTCAACAGGTGAGCAGTCAACAGGTGAGCGGAAGGTAACTTCTCCGGAGGGCCCCATTGGGAGCCTGGGGCTAGAGCGCTTTAAACAGAGCGGATGGGGAACTGGCAAGAAGGGATCCATCCGCTGGGGAATGGGGGTGCGGGCTGCCTGGGGGAAGAGAAAGAACCTCAGAGGCAGGTTCTGACAGCTCAGCGGGGGCCTTGCTGGCCAGGGGCCGGGCTTCATTGAGAATTAGACCCCACATGTGATTTAGGCTTCAGAAAGGTAAGCTTCTTGTGGGGGGAGGCTAGCTGGGGGGATGGGGACAAGCGGGGGGCGGCCAAGGATGGGATGGAAGTACCAAGGAGAAGAAGAACAGGACATACCGGGACAGAAACACGAAAGCGAATGTGACCAAAGTAGCAGTATGTTCCGATCCCTTTTGGCCAAGTCGCCAAAGTGAAGAGCGCTCCCGTGAGCGCCCGGCGGATCTGGGCTGCCATCGAGGCTTAAAGCTCATCGGCGGTGTGACCTTGGCAGGTGACTCTGCCTCCGCGCGCCTCAGTCTCCTGGTCTGCACGATGGGGTGACCGCAGCGCCTGCCTAACGGGGCTGCCGCTGCCATCGCGCTCGCTCGCGGGGCCCAGCCGAGCACGGTGGTCGCCGAGCAGCTGGGGCGGCGGCGACGGTGAGTAATTCGTTACTAAGAATAGTGAGCGCCCCTCTCCCCGCCGCCGCCGCCGCATCCAAGCCGCCGCCGCGCGCTAAGGCGAGGCTGACCCTTAGCCTCGGCTCCGATCCCGGCTCGGATGCGGTCCCCCGACCCCCTGTCCGAGCGCCCCTTCCAGGCCCCCGCCCCCACCTCCCTCCCGCTCACCTGGGCCGCGGCGGCCCGGGGATGTGCTCGTAGCGGCTGCGAGCGCGGTGCACGAAGGTGCAGCAGAGGCCGAAGGCGACCAGGACGGCGCTGCCGAGCAGCAGCAGCAGCCCGGGGCTCATGGCTCCCGGGCAGGCCAGGCCAGGGTCAAGGCCGGGCACGGAGGGGGCGGGAGGCCGCGCGAGCCGACTCAGCTGTCAGCGCCAGCGCCGCCTCGGCCCCAGGCCCGGCGCGACCTAGCGCCGCCCCCGCCGCTCGGCTCCGCCCCCGCCGGCCCCGCCCACTCCCGGGGCGCTGGGTCTCCACCAACCACGTCTCCGATTCCAGCTCCGCTCGCGGGGCCCGCCCCCGTTCTGCCCCGCCCCTCCTCAAACTCCGCCCCCAGTCCTAATAAAAGCCCAGGAGAGGCTCCGCCTACAACATGTGGTCTTCGCCAATCACAACTCCGCTTCTGGCTCAGACCGCAGGCCCCGCCCCTCCCCGCCTCTCCAGGCCCCGCCCTCAGCCCGCAAGCGCTACTCCGAGAGAAGCTCCGCCCACAACGCGTTGTCCCTGGCAACCTGGTTCCTCGGAGCTGGCCATCCGAGGGGCTCTAACTCCTGCTGGCTGGCTCAGCTTTCTTGGGCGCCTCCAAATAGCATTTCTCCGCGTGAGCGGTCCCAGGTCCCTTCATTTCCCCCCTAAAACCTTCCTGGAAACCCAGCCCAGTGTCCAAATCTCTGCATTACACCAACTGTTCCCAGCCCTCTCCCTGGAAACCCCAGCCCCCAAAGCTGGTTTCCCCTGCCCGGCCTGTCCCTGGATCTCCCAGCAGGGCTCATGGGACAAGAAACCAGCACCCCGGGGACACAGGGAGGCCTGTGTCTGCTAAGGGAGAGCTCACGAGGCTGCTCTCCAGGAATCCCGGGCGCTTCTGGAACCTCCCGGATCCAAGGAAGCCGCGTCGGAGGCATTGACGCCGGTCCCAAGGAGCTGGAGTCGGAGCGGCTGAAAATCTGGGTACGGAAGGTCGGTGTGGCCAAAGGGTACTCTTGAGCCATAATGACCAAGACTTCTCTCCCTTTTATAACCTGCTTCTCCGTATCCATATGTCCGGAGAGGACAGAAGAGGCCGGCTCTGAGCTTGTTCGTTCCCAATTCTACACTCAGGGGCCCCCCAGAAAGCAAGCATTGGATGGGAAGGGCAGGTGTGCCCACCCCTAGTCCAGATAAAGATCCCCGGGTTGGTGAGGGGGCCGCCCCAAGACAAATGCTGCTGGGTTTCTGAGGAGAGAACATGTCCCCTGCCCACTCGTGGACCAGTCCAGGGCAGGTTTGGGGACTGGAAAACAGAAAAGGTACAGCCAAGGACAGCCCCCGTTAGGAATACGACTGTCAGGGGTGTAGGGGCTGCGGGGTGACAGACAGCGCCAAGCTTTAGATCTGGGCCCAGCTCCTAAGAGACAGGATTTCTGCCCAGGACCACAGCCAGGGCATCCTTCCTGGAGCGGGGAACAGGAACGACCTCTCCGTAGGGCCAGCAGATGGCGCGCCCCCGTGTGGCGATGAGCCGCAGCCGCAGGCTCATACAGGAGACCTCTGGCTGCCCAGGCTGTGGAGAGGTCACAGCCCAGAAAGGCTGCAGGGGTTGGAGGCATTTGAAGGGATGACCCCGAACAATTGTTCTGTGAGGGCAAGGAGGGCAGGGCCAGGTCCTGAACTGTTGAGGCCACAGCCTGGGTCCCACATGAGGCAGGCATGGAGCAGCCTCAGGGTACAAGTGGGAGTGGGAGTCTGTACAGCCAGATCTAATGAGATGAGTGGGTGTTCCTTAATATTCTTTGCTGCATAGGTCAGCACCAGTGACTTCTGGGTCCATGTGACCGTGGCTCAAGCTGGCATCTTTGTCAACAGAGCACTCCTGTCCCTGCTGGGGCGAGTTAAGTGTCCCCTCCCCCTAACCACCTCATCCTCATCCTCATCTTCATCCTCATCCACGTCCTCATCCTCTTCCTCTTCCTCTTCCTCATCCTCTTCCTCTTCCTCTTCCCCATCCTCATCCTCTTCCTCTTCCTCAACCTCTCAGCTCTCCTGTGATTCGGTGGGGAATAATGAGCCGGCTGGCAGCACAGGGAGCTACCAGAAGAGGGCGCCACTGGGAAGCACGTGGCCAATCACCTGGCTCTCCTGCCGGTCACCTCTCCCCCATTCCCCTCCTCTAGAGCAGTGGGGAACCGCCCTGGCCCTCCAGGAAATCATTCGGTCACACGTGACTATCAAGCACTGAAGCATAAGTAGCCCAAACTGAGATGGGCTGTGTGTGTGAAATACAAAACGGATCCCATCAATTTAATACAAAAGGGCTCTAAATCTCATTGATATGTTTATATTGATTACCTATTAACATGACAATTTCTGAGTATGTTGGGTGAAATGAAATGACTATTGAAATTCATGTCACCTGCTTTTCACTCTTATCATAGGGCTACCAGAAAACCTGGAATTACCCACGTGGCTCACATCACATTTCTGCTGGACAGCGGTGGCACCGGCGATGGTTCTCAAAGTGTGGCCCCGGTGCGCACATCAGCATCACCCAGTGTCACAATGCAAATGCTCTGCCCCACCAACATTTACAGGGTCAAAACCTCTGCTAGGACTTGGCAACTTGTGTTTTAGCCAGCCCTGCAGGTGATTCTGCTTAAATTTGAGAATCACCAATTTGACCCAATGGCCCCACTTCTAGGAATACGTCCTAAGAACCCCGAACACCAAGCAGAAAGAATGTATGCACCCCTACGTTCATAGTAGCACAACTTACAATAGCTAAGATCTGGAAACAGCCCACGCACCCATCAGGAGATGAGTGGATAAGAAAGTGGTGGTACAGCTATGCCGTGGAATACTATGCAGCTGTAAACAAGAAGGAACTCTTCCCCTTTGAGACAGCATGGAGGAACCTGGGGAGTATCATGCTAAGTGGAATACGTCAGTCGGAGAAAGACAAGTATCCCATGATTGCACTCACATGTGGAATCTAAGTAACAAAGTAAACTGATGAACCGAGTGGATCCAGAGACATGGAAGCAAGGAACAGAGTGAAGAACTTCAGAGGGAAGGGGGGTGGGGTGGAGAGTGGATGGGTGGGAGGTAATCAACCAAACACCTTGTATGCGTATATGCATAACAATAGGGTGGTGAAGGCAGTGGGGGGGGAGGTCAAGCTGGAGGAGGCTAATGGGGGAAAAGGGGAACATATGGAATACTTTCAACAGTAAAGATTTATAAAAACAGAAACAAAAAACAGAAACTTATTCTCTCTCTACAAATATATATATATATATATATATATATATATATATATATATATATATATATATATCTACAAGAGAAAAAAAGGAATCCCCAGTATAAATGATGCCATACAGGAAGTGGTTTCCCAGCAGGCTTTGCGGAGGGCGCTGCAGGCAGAAGAAAGAGGGAGCTCTGAAGTGGCCGTCCTCCGCTGAGTGGCTGGCAGGGGACAGGTAGTCCAGGGAGGGGGCGGAGGGCTGGGCTCAGAGCTGCCTCAGCCTCTGAAGGTGGGACCCAAGACCAGTTAGTCGCATAGCTATGTTGGGGTCCACCCCCTCGTCTGGAAAAGAGAGGTGATATCAATGCCGTTGGGGGCCTTTGTGAGGATTAACGAGCCGGCACACCGGGGAACCTAGCATTTAGTCAGTGCTCACTGAATGCTGGTTCTCAGCAAGGGGTGAGGAGATGGCTGTCCCCTCAGAAGTCGCAGGTTCTACAGGTTGGCGTGAAGAGGCTTATCTTCCGCCCGTTTTAAGTATCTGTCCCGGTCATTCTGTTGTGGTCCCTCCACGTGGCTCAGCCCTCCCCACCCTGTTATGCAGGGGGCAGCTGCCGGCATGGGCACCCCCAGCCTGGCGTTCAGCTTTCTGTCCAGGGAGCAACCTGGAATGAGCTGGGCATGTTTGCTTTCCTTTGTTCCGCGCTGCCCCCTGGTGGTCAGTGCACATCATAGTGAGCAATCAAACTCCCAAGGAGACATTTTGCATATTAGCCTTTTATATATGTGTGTCAATCTAATAAATTCAACAACAAAAATTTAAAAATTTGTATTAAAAAAAAAAAGATGAGGATTAAATGCGTGAAAATAAGACAGTGCCTCACATGTAGGAAATGCTCAGCCAATGTCAGCCATCCACCCTGGTTAGTGCTATTGAGGAGCAGTGAGTCTGTTGTCAACTCCCTTCTCAGGAGTCTGCAGCCCAAGCCTTGTTTGGAGCCCGGGGGAGGGGAGCACCCTGCCCAGAGGACTGGCAGGCTGAGGCCAGCACTGTCTGGAGGAGTGGAGAAGCCTGGATTCCCCTGGTTACTCCAGCAACAGCAGTGATGCTCCAGGCCCCAGCTGAGGGCTGGACCACTCCTCTGCCCCTCCATCCCCTCCCCCCGGCCCAGGGAGGTGCCGAGGAGCCCATATGGTGGCCCAGACTGTTTGTGCTGAGATGCTCCCCATCCCTTCGGCCCCCTCTCCCGGGCCCCACCTTGTGGCCTCCCAGCCTCCAGGACCGCGCTCCCCTCTGCACAGCGAGGCGTTCGGCTGGACGGACAGGGGGCCCCCAGCTCCTGACACGGCTCAGGATTCCCCGGCGTCCGGGAAGGCACCTTTCTGGGCACAGCCTCGCACTCTTGGGAGAGCAGCGGCCAGGGTGCCGGCAGGCCCTGGGGCTAGGCTGCGTGGGTTCACGTTTGGTCTCTTCCCTCCCGGCCTGGGCGCCCCCATTGAAGCTGTGCGGCCTCTGGGCACCTCGGCTGCTGTGCGGTCTCGCGGCGGTGACCAGTGGTGGGGACACGCGGTGGCCGGCTCATGGAGGTTCCCACCAGGGGCTCAGCGGGACCAGGACACCTGCTCCGGGCAGAGGTGGGAGTCGGAGGGGCGGCCCACAGCCTGGGCTCTATACTCAGAGCCGGTTTCTGGGTCACCACAAGGCCCCTAGTGCCCACTCTGCCCTCACTGCCCGTGGCCATCTGCATACATCCCTGGCCCCCATCCGAGGCCGGGCCAGCCGCACCGGATGCCCCTCCACAGGCCTGGCACGAGCCAGGGCCAAGGCCATCGTGGTCAGAGACTCAGAGA